ATACGCTAATACTAAGCTGCAGCTACAGTATACCACCCTGAATTTAAAAAATGCCGGCGACTATGGGCACTGGCCTACTACAGCCCTCGACAACTGGAACTTTCACCTGGGAACTATTTGTGTAGAAATATGTATATTTCTATACAACTACACACTCCTGTCCCTTCTTTATTTACCTCCATTTGTCTCTGTGTCAGTTGTATACCATTTTACTCCAAAAATGATTTTCAATAAAGATTCATATGCAAGTATCAATTGAAACCTTATGTCAACAGTCATAATGGTCAGTTTTTTAGAGAAATCTGTTGGGATATCATTTAACTCGAGGACACTCATTTCCAGAGCCATATTGGCAAAACAGACAACAACAAAAAAATCTGCAGACTCTATCGGTGTTTCCATCAGCCTTTAATCTCTGCAAGGCTGATAAATATAATTCACAATGAGAGCAATGTAACATTAATATGCATGATCAAACTCCACTTCCAGAAAAAATATTTCTATGGAAAAAACAGCTTTTTTCAGCTTCTGGTCTGCAGGAACCACATGCTGAGGTGGCTCGGTCTGGACTTCTTCTTTCTCTTTCCCCCTAACCCTAGACAGTGGTTTACAGGGACACCCCAGATTACACCCCATGAATGAAAGCATGCTTCTGCTTCACAATGGAGCTGTGGCTGCACCCTGAGGAGGGGGAGGGGCAATGCATTCCTTCACTGACCTCCTGTTTGCAGCAGATATTAAACAATAACTGCTTCCCTTTGTCTGCTTTCAGCATTAACAGCCTCTACCAGGACAGTAGAGCAGAGCTCTGATTTAACAAATGGGTGAAAAACTGATTGGGATTGTATCTTTATTTGTATGTATAGGTTAGTAAGTAACAAAGGCTTTTCATTACATGATATCCGGAGATTAAATGTGACCATTTGTGGGTGCAGGCTACGCATTTGCAGTGTTTTAATATGTGTGCCTCAATTTGAGTCACCTTCAGAGAAAATGCGGCATCAGCTGGCTTCCTAATTATTTTTTACAGGTAGAGCAAATGTTGCAAAAGTACTGCTGTACTGCAAACTGTAAACACTTGCCAAATAATTGCAAGTTTAATTAGTTGATGGTGTATAGAGAAACCTTTGTCTGCAAACACAGCAGCAGCTTTTGCTGTGAGCCTCTACCAGCTTTGAACAAGCTAATTTTTTCATATCATTTCACGTTATTCTGGATTATGGATTTTAGATTATTCTGTATTTTGCTCCATAAATGTTTCCATTACTTTCTAATTTTCTACCAAAATTCCCAGAATAAATGTATCCCCTGATGCTGCCACCATCTCGTTCCACAGCGCTGTTGGTGTGTTGATGTTGAAATGCAATAATAGTTTACATAATTTCCAACATTTCATGAAATCGTCCAAGAAAGTAAAATTTTCTTTACTTTTCTCCATCTGCCATCCCCTACATGACTTGTAACTATCTGCGAGCAGAAGATTTAATGCAAATCTCCCATAAAGGGCAGGTTTGTGGAGTGCATAACTACACTGCAAAAAGAATCCATCTAAACAAGTCTTACAATATTAGATCATCTTACTGCAGTGGCAGATTATTGAATTTATTACTAGTATTTTCTCAAAATGAGAAAAAAAAATCTAACAGAATATAGCTCTTGATTAGTATATAAATCCTAAAACAAGATAAAAAGTTTGGATAGATATAAGATTGGAAGACTGGTTTGGTGGATATTTATTTGCAGTTTAAAGGAATAGTACACCCAAAACATGATTAGCCTTCATTTTCTACTCACCCCCATGCTGAACAACACTCTGGAGTACTTTTTTGA